GCGAGCGCAGTGGGCGCAGGACCCCCAGGCAGCGGTGCACGCTGATGCAGGTGAGGAAGAGGATGCTGCAGTAAAGGTTGGTGTAGAAGAGGAACCGCACCAGCTTGCAGAGCACCGTGCTGAAGGGCCAGTGGTCACCGCGGGCGTAGTAATAGACCAGCAGCGGCAGGGAGGCCGCGTACAGCGCGTCGGACACCGCCAGGTGGAACATGTAGGTGGTGGAGGCGTTCCATGTCTTGAGGCGGCAGAGGAAGATGTAGAGCACGGCGACGTTCAGACACAGCCCGAGCACGCACACCACACCGTAGGACACAGGCAGCAGCACGTACTTGAAGTCCTCGTTGAAGCGGCACTTGTAGCCCAGCTCATCCCCATACCACGTGTCATTGTTGGTGCCGTTCCAGAGGCCCGGGCCTGCGGCCATTGCCCTGAAGGAAAGGGCGCGGGGTGGGGAGAACAGCCATCAGGGTTTTGTCCAGGGCTCATCGAAGAGGCCTGACACACCCACCTGACCAGGGATACGAGGGACCTCAAGTATTAAGCAGATTCCTTTGGTTAAGATCTGCCCAACCACGTTCAAGGCCTTCTGACCTGGCTCCCTGGACCCAGAACCTCAGAACCCTGGAACCTCCCAGAGGGCCCAGAACCTCAAAAATGCATGAGAATGCATGAGATCCATAAATATCAGGATCATACAATTCTAAAACTTGAGAACAGATGTAGGCAAACTACACACTAAAGGTCAAATCCAACCCAATAAAGCTTTATTGGAATACAGCGTATCCATCTGTTGTTTACAAAGAACTGAACAGTTTCGACAAAGACCATCTGTTCTGCAAAATCTAAACTCCTTACCATCTGGCCTTTTACAAAAACAAGAACCCTGGAACCTCAAAAATGCATGAGAATGCATGAGATCCATAAATATCAGGATCATACAATTCTAAAACTTGAGAACAGATGCAGGCAAACTACACACTAAAGGTCAAATCCAATCCAATAAAGCTTTATTGGAATACAGCGTATCCATCTGTTGTTTACAAAGAACTGAACAGTTTCGACAAAGACCATCTGTTCTGCAAAATCTAAACTCCTTACCATCTGGCCTTTTACAAAAACAAAGTTTGGCAACTCTATTCTAGAACCTCAGGAGCACAGCATTCTAGATCTGGGATTCTGAACTCTAGAATCGGAGGATTCCAGAGGGTATAATTTCAGATTCATGGACAGGGGCCCTTGAGGCCTATGGACTCCACCTCACACCCAGTGCCCCCTGCCTTCTGAAGTGTTTCTGGCCAATGGGCAGCCCATACCTTCCTGGGGGCATCAGAACATTCTTTCCTTTAGCTTATTCTTTGGCTACCTAGGGAGGTTCTGGCCCGGTGCCTGGTATTTTGGTTTTGAGGAAGTATTTCCAAGGGTCTCCCTCTTCAGTCACTCATTCATTTTCTCAGCAAATATTTTTTAGATACTTTCATGTTCTGGCACTTTCTGCATCTGCAAGCTGCTCTCTGGAGTGTGAGTCTACCAGATGGGACAGTGACCCTCCTGAAGATTCCAGAGAAGTCTGGGGGGGGGGGGGGGGGGGGGGGGGGGGAGGGTGTCCCTCAGCCCAGCCTGCACCCTCTCCAATCTGGGAC